TAAAACAAATAAGATAATAAACAAAGAAAAATAAAGGCAAAGAGACAGTGCTCGCTTCTTTAGATGCAATGGGCTTGGAGACCCTGTCCTGAGGATCCTGGTAAGGATGGCCCCCCCACCTCCAGGAGTGGCTCTGCCAGAAAGTATCATGCAAGCATGAAGTGCTGGATGAGTGATCATCACCACCCACCCCATGGTGGAGGCTCTAAAATATCCTCTAGTCCATGTCAAGTCGTACTCACTGAACTTACTCCCTTTCCTTTCCAGCTGTTCGATTCATTTGAAAGGCTGATCAAACTCAGGCCAGCTGGAGAGGATACCTGGGGAGAATGGGCCACTTGCCCACATCATCTCTGTATTCTAGAGATCAAGTCGGGCATCAGTAGGAGTGCCAGACATGTCCTTAGGAACCTCCTAGACCTAGAGGGCCATCAGAGAACCATCCTTAGCCATCTGCTTCTGGGAGCTAATTGATGCTCCAGCTATGTAGAGGCAACAAGACTAAACATCATTGCATAATCATATATCTTGGAATAGTTGATGTCTCTCTCACCCACCCCTGGTCCACCACCAATTCTGTGGTTGTTATAGTGGCCACTCAGTCGACATATGTAAGAAGCTGTCTTATAGTGAATCAGACCATTAGTCTGATTCCTTATTATCTTCTCAGATGGGCAACAGCTCTCCAGCGTCACAGGTAGAGGTCTTTCCCATTACCTACCATGTGTTCTATTTAACTGGTGATGCCGGGGGTTGAACCTGGGACTTTCAGCATGCCAAGCGGATGCTCTACTATTGAGTCACATGGCCCCTTTCCCAACTTGGGCCAACCCCTGATAAGGACACTTCAGAATGGGTGCCTTAATCCATCAGGACTAGGAAGTTAGGAGAGCTCAGTAGGTCCGAGACAGCCTCCTTTCCTTCCTTCCATCCAATAAAAGTTCTGTGATCCATAGATCTTGAGCAGTGAACAGTTATTGTAAATCATTTATTACCCAATAGACAAAAGGAGATTAAAAAATTGCAACTGCTAGGGTTTGTTGATGTTCAGCCGCACAGTCGAGTCCAACTCTTCACGACCCCATGGACCACATCACGCCAGGCCCTCCTGTCTTCCGTCGTGCTCCGTAGTTTGCTTAATTTTATGTTCGTTGCCTCGATAACACTGTCTAACCATCTCATCCTTTGCCGTCCCCTTCTTTGGGGGAGTCTTAATCACAAAGTAAAGAAGTAACCATCTCACAGGGATATGAATCAAAGCAGGCTGACAAACATGCTGAAATACAGTATCTTCTGAGGTTAATATACAATGGACACCCCGGGAGAATTTGTGCAATGGTATCAATCTTGGCTAAAGAACAGGAGCAAATTCATTCTGACTAAGATAAGCGCAAAACCCTACGCCTCATAACCACTCAAGACTGGGCTTTTAATCTGGCCAGTATGAAAGCTCTGGAAAAGACTTGGTCGGGTCAATAAATAAGTATAAAGACAACCTCCAATGGCGGAGGGAGGGACAAACTCAGCCATAAGACCTGTAACGTAAGTGCAGAACCAGCCAGACCATAGCAAAGAGAGTTGCAGGTCCTTTGCAAAACTAGTGTTGCCTGGGAAATGCAGGAGAGTCACCAAGGATGGGACAGAGACCCAGCGTGGGGACTTGGGGGAGAATGACTGTGGTTTACTAGGGTCTGAAACCTATGACCACCATATGGTATTTATGCCCAAAAATAAAACAGAAAAGGCTGGGGGGGGGACACCATAAGGAATTGTGGAGAGTGATATGGAAATCATACCTCATCTCCCTAAACTGGGCTCTTCAGGATTGGATAAACTGCCAGGAGATTGAGGAGGCTCTTCCCCCCCATCCCCCCCCCACCTGCTGCTTGTGTCATTTTGTGCTTCCTGGAGCATCCTCAGGCCACATCAGGCTGTGGTTGGATTTGCTGGAAGTGAAGGCCCTGCCCTCTGCCTCAGCCTCCAGACTTTGTGGCATGAGAGGCAGAGATAGCTAGACAGTCAGACTGACCTTTCCTTCCTATGTCTACTCTCCTGTCAGCTCTCAGGGAACAACTTCCTTCCTTCTCTTCATTCTCTCTCACACACTCTTCCCCCTCACACACACACACCAAGATGGAGGACATGTTGTCCCCATCTTGGCACCACAACTCAGATGGCCTCCCACCACTGGAGTCCACCCTTAGTTAGCTAGACTAGAATACTATCCTCTCTCTCATCTTTCCTATCCAGATTGTCGTTCTAGAATAAAGAGGCTAGTATTAGTCTGTTGAACTGGAAACATGGCTCTGTGTACTTTTGTGGCGCTCTAAGCTTTGTTACCCTGGTTGGACGCACTCCTGTGCTAGAAGCTTTATGCACTCGGCTAACTAGTCAGTGGTTCCTGGACTAACCATACCAGCTAACCCAACAGGATTTTCTATCAGTTCATTTATAAAGTCACTTTTTTTTTTGTATGCTTGGTGAACTGGTTTTTGTTCCTTTGTGATTGTAATAGAAGGGTGGCCTCTATCAGGGATTATCAATAGGAGTGACAAGAGGGGATCCCAGGAGGGCTTGCGAGAGAAGGGAAATCCTATTCCCCCCAGGGGGCCATACGCCTCCCCCGCCCCCGTGCCTGGATCTGCTTCCCTGCTACTTACGCACTGATTTCCCCCCCCCTTTCTATCGTTCCATCCTCACCTCTTCCTGGAGCTATTTTGGGTTGCTATGGCAACCCAAGATGTTCCTGAACAACTTTTAAAATATTGGAATGTAATTTTGGCAGAGTTACCCCACCTTTTGAAAAACCATATTCCCCCCCCTGCAAATCCATGGCGTCCCTCCATTTGCAGAAACCTATATTGTATCTATGACCTGGCCTGGATAGCCCCAGGCTAGCCTGATCTCACCAGAATCCGGAAGCTAAGCAGGGTCGGCGCCGGCTAGTGTTTGTATGGAAGACCTCCAAGGAATACCAGGGCCAGGACGCAGAGGCAGGCCATGGCCAACCCCCATCCAAGTAGATCAGTGGCTGGGGGCTGGGTTCAAGATCTGATACAGCCATTAAGCTCCTTGGATGATCTTGGAGCCAGCCCCTCTCCCTGGGCCTAACCTACCTTATAGGGCTGTTGTTGGTGAGGATAAAAGAGGGGAGGGGACATTCTCTGCTTCAGTGACTGATGGAAGTCGGGTAGGAGAAAGTGGAAAGTTCCCCTGGGGAAGGGACTTCCTCGCTTTTCTAGTAAAACGTAACCAGGAACTTCTGGCGATTGTTTCGGCCTTTCTCTCCAGGCTTGGCACAACGGTCCCTTTTCCTCTGGCAGCAGCAGGCCTATCTAGCCTTCACAGAGGCTGGCTGGAAAATCCCCCACTCCGCTGCCCTCAGTCTCTCCCACAGATGCTCATATGATTATACATATCGTAACTACTGCTAGAATTTTGTACGTAAAATACTGGAGGAAAGAAGAAATACCATCAGGAGAAGAAATAATTTACAAACTACTAGAAACGGCAGAGATGGACAGATTAATGTTGTTACTACAAGATAAAAAAGAAGAAATTCTTGAGAAAACATGGTCAAGACTTTATAAGTGGATTGAGGTTTATTTGCAAAGCTATAGACTATAACTATATGCAAAACTATAACTATAGAAACTATAACAGAAATATGGGTTGAAACTATTTTGGCATATACATTACTTAATTGTTTAGGTGTAAAACATGATATTATGCACGTAAAAAACTTAACAGTAATAATGAGTACAAGCTCCCTATTCTGTGATGTTATGCCTTGTGAACTGTGTTGTGTGTGTCTTTGTCTATAGAAAACTAATAAAAATCTATTATTAAAAAAATTGAAAGCCTGGTGCCCTTTGGTCTTGTGGATCAGAAGGGCAGGCCACAGGATTCTGCCGTTTTCAAAATCGGGGCATGTTTTGTTTTTTAAGTGAGTCCCCATATCACGTAAATTGTGGACTTGTGGGTCACTGTACCCAAAAGGATGGGCTCCGTGGCTCTAAAATAACTCTGCCGAGGCTAACAGCCGCAGTGCTGGAGGAGATGAGTGGAATGGGGGGGAGGGAGCATGTGTGCAGTTGGCCATGGGGAGCAAGAAGGGCAAGGTGCTGCCAATGGGAAGGGAGACAGGTTGCCAACTTCTTCTCCTGGCTCTGCTCCTGCGCTTTGAAATGGCAGCCTCCAGAACATAAGAGCCCTGCTGGATCAGACCGGTGGTCCGTCTAGTCCAGCGTCCTGTGTCAGGCAATGGCCAGCCAGATACCATAGATGGCAAGTGAGTGGCAAGAATGGCGATGCATTGTTAATGGGAAAGGAACAAGGTTGCCGACTTCTCCCCCTGTCTCTGTACCTGCGCTAGGAAAGGTAGGTGGTGACCTTTCTGCCATCCAGGAAATCTCCCCAGGGAGCTTCGCCTGCTTCCCTGCCGGCAGCCAGGCCTGCTGGCTAAGGGATGCCAGCCTCCAGGTGGGACCTGGGGATCCCCCGGAATCAGAGATCAGTTCCCCTGGAGAAGACGGACGCTCTGGAGGGTGGACTCCCTGGCTGGCACTGTACCTCACTGAGGCCCCTGTACCTCCCCAGGCTCCACTCCCAGGCCTCCGGGAGTTTCCCAGCCTGGATCTGCAACCCCCCCCCCATACCTCGTCGGTGGCAGGGGGGAGGTGGCAACCCGCATTGCTCCTAGGGATGCCAGCCTCCAGGTGGGATCGGGGATCCCCCGGAATTCCTGTCCAGGCTCCAGAGATCCCCCGGAGAAAACGGATCTCTGTGGCGTTGTAGCCCCCTGTCCTGGCCCGGCCGGCTCCGCCCCGCAACCTCCGGGAAGTTCCCGACCTGGATCTGGCCGCCTCATTCCCTCCCCCCCCCCGCCGGTGGCCGGGGGGAGCTGGCACCCGGCTGGGAGGGACCCGCCTGGTCCAGGCTGCGCCTCCTCCGCTCGGGGCAGGGTTAAGGCGGCTGCCTAGGAACGGCCGGGCCGGCCCTCCCCTCTCGGCTCCGGGGACTGGCCCAGCCCTCCGCCTCCTCCTGCGCACCGGCGGCGGACGCGCCTTCCAGGCACCCCCCGGACCGACGCGACGCCCGCCTGACGCTGCCGCCGCCGCGCTCCCCGCTCCCCCTTTGGCCGAGGGAAGGATGGCGGACTTCCCGGCCAAAGTCAGCACCCGCACCAGCACCCCCGCCGGGGCGCACGGAGGCGCCGGCCGCTCGGGCTCCCTCGACCTCGAGTTCCTCCGCTCCCCCTTCGGGGTCTTGATGGTCGTCGAGATCGTGAGTAGACCAGCGGCCGGGGCGGGGACGGGGAGACGGGGAGTCCGGCCAGAGGGGCGGGGGG